ACAGGACTTGTGTAGGGCCATTCAGCTATACTCCAAATAACATTACGAGGAGTGGCTCCATTGAGGCTAGTCGGATCCTTGGACAAGATGAGTGACTTAAGTGGCTGCCAACCTGGTGCCGAGTGTGAGCTGAGAGCTTGGCCGGGGATTTGCGTGGTTTTTCTTATCCTACACGTTCTGGGTTGGAAATATTTCCTCTAAATTCTACTTAAAAATGGAATGATTCTTTCTTTAGTTCCTGTCTCTAACTCTACTTTATCACAAGTATGTAAAAGGACACAGTTGGCACTTTGAATAGTCTGCCTGGAAAGACTTATCTAGATAGATATTTCAGTTCCTTCAGCATGTTTTCTATCTTTCATGTTACTTCACATGTGAGTCCAATCATCTGTCCTGCTAATCTGTCACAGGGCTTCCCCGCTATATAACATCCAGCAGTAGTTGCTGCCTCCCCTTCATCCTCCATTGACCGTCTCCCGGGACCCTTCTGACATCTGCCCAATGCCAGGCTTCAAGAAGCCTTTCAAAAAAAGAGACAGAGAGAATAATGACAGCAATTTCCAATTAAAAGAATACTTTCTTGGAATAAAGATGTAAATCTATAGCCAAAAGGACACATCATACTCATCAAACAGTGATATAAAAAGAGATTGATCAAGAGATATTCTGATAAAGCTACTCAACTTCAAAGATATACAGAAAGAAGTCTATGAAAACATGGGCCCCAAAGTGGTTCACACACCAACAGGAAATGTTGGAAGAGCTTCAGATTTTCCCCTTTCAGAGTTCCCCTTACTAGTATTAGATGATAAAAGGCTATAGAGCAAGATGTGCAAAGTTCTGAGAAAATTTTCTATCTAGCCATTTTTATTGCAAGTACAAAGCTAGAGGCAGAACTCTTAAGCCTTTAGGACTCCTCATATTATTGTTGGATGGAGGAGGAGATCGATGATCCATCCAGCCAAACAAGAAATAATTTAAAATAAAGAACTCAAAGATGGGTATATTGTGTGAAAATACCAGTGAGAATTAAATCTAATTCAATATAGAATCAAGACACACCAACATGATAAACTGTGGCCACAGGGCAGAAAGAAAATATCCCACACATTAACAATGGTAAATAAAAATATGAACAATTAGTGGAGGAAAAGTATGTTAGAAGGAAGTAAATGTGTTATCAACTTCCTTACCTTTCAGGTCAGAGATTCTATAAATGCTAAGTTTGATATATGTAGTTGAAAACTAATTGCTTTAGGAGCTGGCATTGTAGTACAGCAGGTTAAGCCACAGCCTGTAACACCTCCATCCCATGTGAGCATCATTTCATGCCCCAGCTGCTCCACCTCTGGTCCAGCTCTTTGCTAATATGTCTGAGAAAGCAGCAAAAAATGGTCTAAGTGCTTAGACACCTGGCACCCATGAGAGAGACCTGGATGGAGGTCTAGGCTCCTGGTTTCCTCCTGGCACATCCGCAATTATCATGGCCTTTCGGCAGTGGACCAGGGGATAGAAGATCGCTCTGTCTCTCTCTGTCTCCCCTCTCTGTAACTCTGCCTTTCAAATAAATACATAAATGTTTAAATAAACAAAAGAGCTAATTACTTTTAATGCATTTAAAAAATTATAATATTTCAAATTATCTTAAGTGAAGTAATGAAAACTTGAAGATGATTTTTCTGCTGTTGAATTCAAATAATTTCCATTTCATACATTTGTAATAAAAATTAGCTATACAGGATTGTGGTTATTATGGAGTAACACTACCATACTGAACCTCCTATGATAATAAGCAAGAAAAGTTGGCAAAATATATGAAATGAGTAACAGACACTGGAAAACAGGCAACACAGATAGTTATTCCTGAGTGATTTCCTGCAATTGTCTGGTTTTCTACGCAAAGTGATTCCAAGACCACAATAGTGATGGGGAGACCCAAAAACAGTTAAGTGTCCTCTATGAAAGAAAACTCAGAGGTTGAACTGGATGGAAATGTGAGGCATAGCTCTAGAAAGCTTTCGCTATGTGCAGGATTGGGCATGCATAGAGTGAAACTCCACATGCTAGGGCAAAGAATGACTGAGCTATAAACGCAGAACTGGGGCCAGCATTGAAATATAGCAGGTTAACCTGGTGCCTGCAATGCCAGTTTGAATCCCGGTTGCTCCACTTCCATCCAGCTCCCTGTTAATGTGTCTGGGAAATAAGCAGAGGATGGCCAGACCTTGGATCCCTGCACCCATGTGGGAGAGCCAGAAGAAACTCCTGGTTCCTGGGATCAGTCTGGCCCAACTCTGGCCTTTATGGCCAACTAGGGAGTAAACCGGTGGATGGAAGACTTCTCTCTGTATGTCTCTCCCTATCTTTAAAATAAAAAATATAAACCTTAAAAAATAAAAAGAACAATTTCCAGAGGACAGTAGGGTTAGAAAGTATTAAAACTTTGATGATCCAAAGTAGAAAGCCAACAGTGATCACTTGGAATACTCAAAGGGACACCCCAAAGAGATCATTATTTAATAATAGTAATAGGCCTAAAGTAAATCCTACTCTAGATTATCCTCACAAGACTTAAGAACAGAACTCAGTGGGTGCAAACAGACAGAAAAATGCATGTCTTCTGAAGTCAAGTCCAAAAGACAGACAATAAAATCCAAATATTCAATTGTGTAATATTCATTATGTGTAGCATCCAATAAAATAAAAAAAGCACAGGACAGGATAAGAATCAGCAGAACATGATCTATAATCATGAAAAACTCAGTCAATAGAAACTGACACTGAAATGAGAAACAAAAATAGACCACACAGAAAAGGATTTGCAAAATAAAAGACAAGCATCAGAAATAAATATATGGATACATTTAAGAATATTTTTCTCAATTTTAAAATCCTTTTAAATACATCAACTACTTAAAACAAACCAAAAACAATATACTATAGAGCTTGAAACACAAAAATAAATTCCATAGCAAGAATAGCACAATGTGGGCCAGCATTATGGTGTAGCAGGTTAAACCTTTGCTTATTATACTGATATACCATATCAGAAAGCACTGGTTCCAGTTCTGGATGGTCTACTTCCTCATGAACCCCCTCCTAATGTGTCTGGAAAAGCAGCAGCTGGTGGCCCAAGGACTTGGGTCCCTGTCATCCATGTAGGGGCCCATAGTTCCTGGCTGCAGCCTTGCCCAACTCTGACCACTGCAGACAGCTGAAAATTCATTTAGTAAGCACTAGAACAACCAATAAAAACAAGTATAACTAATAAACTAATAACTGCTGAGTATTAATAAGATGAAAAATCCAATTTTGTTTAATATTAAGTATAAATACTTAATCCAAAAGATTGCAACAAACTAAAAATACTGGGAACAAATAAAACAATCAGGAAACAAGGTAGCATAGACTTTATCCAAAACATAATGATTACACAAATGGAAATGACTTCAACTCTCCAATTGAAGGACAGAGGTCATTAGATTGAATTTGCTTCTTTTTCAAGCAAGATTCTGCATTGTGTTGTGTAAAAGAAAGTCACTTTAAATGTAGTTTCAAATATAGGAAAAAAGTAACATGATAAAAGATATGCACCATTTAAGTAGTAAGCAAAAGAAAAGAATAAGAAGAGTAACAAGGTTCTGGTTTTATGGCACAGCAGGTTAAGCCACTGTCTGTAACTCCAGCATCACACATAGTGACAGTTCAAGTCTCAGCTGCTCCGCTTCTGATTCAGCTCCCTGCTAACGCTCCTGGGAAAGCAGCAGAAGATGGACTGAATGCTTGGACCCTGCCACCCATGTGAGAGACCTGAATGGTGTTCCAGGCTTCTGACTTCAGATGGAGTTCCAGGCTCTTGGCTTCAGGCTGGCTCTTTTTTTTTTTTTAACTTTTATTTAATGAATATAAATTTCCAAAGTACAGCTTATGGATTACAATGGCTTTTCCCCCCCCATAACTTCCCTCCTACCCACAACCCTCCCATTTCCCGCTCCCTCTCCCCTTCCATTCACATCAAGATTCATTTTCAATTCTCTTTATATACAGATCAATTTAGCATATATTAAGTAAAGCTTTCAACAGTTTGCACCCACACAGAAACACAAAGTGAAAAATACTGTTTGAGTACTAGTTATAGCATTAAATCACAATGTACAGCACATTTAGGACAGAGATCCTACTTGAGGAGTAAGTGCACAGTGACTCCTGTTGTTGACTTAACAATTGACATTCTTGTTTATGGCTCAGTAATCACCCTAGGCTCTTGTCATGAGTTGCCAAGGCTATGGAGGCCTTTTGATTTTGCCGACTCTGATCATATTTAGACAAGGTCATAGTCAAAGTAGAAATTCTCTCCTCCCTTCAGATAAAGGTACCTCCTTCTTTGATGACCCGTTCTTTCCACTGGGATCTCACTCGCGGAGATCTCTCATTTAGGTCATTTTTTTTTTCTTTTGGCCACAGTGTCTTGGCTTTCCATGCCTGAAATACTCTCATGGGCTTTTCAGTCGGATCTGCATGCCTTAAGGGCTGATTCTGAGGCCAGAGTGCTGTTTAGGACATCTGCCATTCTATGAGTCTCCTGTGTATCCCGCTTCCCATATTGGATTGTTCTCTCCCTTTTTGATTCTATCAGTTAGTATTAGCAGACACTAGTCTTGTTTGTGTGATCCCTTTGACTCTTAGACCTAGCAGTGTGATCAATTGTGAACAGAAGTTGATCACTGGGACTAGTGAGATGGCATTGGTACATGCCACCTTGATGGGATTGTATTGGAATCCCCTGGCACGTTTCTTTTTTTATTTTTTATTTAGTAAATATAAATTTCCAAAGTACAGTTAATGGATTACAATGGCCCCCCCCATAATTTCACTCCCACTCACACCCCTCCCATCTCCCACTCCCTCTCCCATTCCATTCACATCAAGATTCATTTTTTCAATTATCTTTATATACAAAAGATCGATTTAGTATATAGTAAGTAAAGATTTCATCAGTTTGCACCCACACAGAACATAAAGTGTAAAATACTGTTTCAGTACTAGTTATAGCATTACTTCACATTGGACAACACATTAAGGATAGAGATCCTACATGAGGAGTAAGTGCACAGTGACTCCTGCTGTTGACTTAACAATTTGACACTCTTGTTTATGGCGTCAGTAATCTCCCTAGGCTCTAGTCATGAGTTGCCAAGGCTATGGAAGCCTTTTGAGCTCGCCGACTTCGATCGTATTCCAACAGCACATTTCTAACTCTACCATTTGGGGCAAGTCCAATTGAGCATGTCCCAAATTGTACATCTCTTCCCTCTCTTATTCCCACTCTTACATTTAACAGGGATCACTTTTCAGTTAAGTTTCAACACTTAAGAATAACTGTGTATTAATTACAGAGTTCAGCCAATATCTGAAAACCAATTGATATAATTTACTGTAGGTACCACAGACTAAAGAAGTAAACTGTATGATGATATCAAATAATGCATTGAAATCATTTGAGAAAATTCAACATTTTCATGTTGAAGATTTTTCAGTGCATTGTGAATAGAAGGAATCATTCTTAACCTGATAAAGGGCAATCTGTTGTTGTTTTTTTTTTTTTTTTAAAGTTCATTTGTTTATTTATTTGAAAGGCAGAGTTAAAGAGCTAGAGGGAGAGACAGAGAAAGAGATAGATCTTCCATCTACTGGTTCATTCCCCAGATGGCTGCAACAGTGAGGGCTGGGCCAGGCCAAAGCAAGGAGCCAGGCATTTCATTTGGGACTCCCATGTGAGTGGCATGGGACCAAGTAGTTACTTGGGAAATCTTTTGCTGCTTTCCCATACCGTTAGCAGGGAGCAGGACTGGAAGTAGAGCAGCCAAGCTTGAACCAGTACCCTCATGAGATGCTGGCAAGGCAGGTGGCAGTTTTACCCACCATGCCACAATGCAAGCCCCAGAGCCTGTTTTGTTTTGTTTGATTTTTTTTTTAAGAAGACCTACGGTTAACAATACATTTAATGACAAAAATTTTAATGTTTTACCCTTTAGATTAGGGGAAAGCCTAGAATGTATATACTTACCACTGCTGAAAAAAAAATTCTCCTGGAAGTCTTATCCAGTAGAGTAAGTTATGAAAAAGAGTAATAGGCACCAGGTTGGAATGATGGAAGTAAAATTGCTTTATTAACATCTAATAACAGCAACAGCAAAAACAGAAAATGCTAATAAACTAGAAAAGAAATTATTAAGGAAAGCACATAGCTACTAGAACTGCATGTAAGTTTACCATACATGTTCTGGTTATCAATGTATCACCTCTTGCTTTCAAACCCAGCTTTCTACCCTGCATGGTGATGATAGAGTTGAAACCTATGAACATTTGTTCTGTTCTACTTCGTGCAGTGTCAGTCTTGACCCTGCAACCAGAGCAGAGGAAAAGGATTCTCTTCCTCCTTCTGTTGTTTTCTCCATAAACTCTGAGTACTAAGAGCATACCTAAGCTCACTGATTCTCTGGCATCCCAGCAGGTGGCTTTCTGTGGACTGTTTCCAGCCCACCAGCACTTCAAAACACCTATCACCCACTGGTCTTGCAGTCAGGCCTTCTTCAACCAGGACTGCAGCAGGTTAACATGCAGCCCTGCTATGGTTTGAATGTGTACCCTCCAGATCTCAGGTGTTAGAACTTAGTGGGCTGTGCTATGGTGTTAAGAGAGGCAGGGCCTTTATGAGGGCTCCTCCCTCTTACATAGGATTAAGATAGTTACAAAAAGTGATTCCTACAGCCTTGGGCTCCTTTGCTCTTCCGCCTTCTGCTGTGTAAGACAGAATTCCTCTTCTCTACAGAAGGCAGTGTCAAGGCACCATTTAGAAGCAGAGAGCAATCTTCACCAGATATCCACGTGTGCCAGTGCCTTGATCTTCAACTTCCCCACCTCCCTGCGTGTGTAGAAGTTCCTATCATCTGTAAATTATTCAGGGTGTGGTATTTTGTTCCACCAACACAAAGGAATGAAGACTCTCCTGGGCTCTTAACCCTGACTTTGGCTGCTCTGCCTCAGTCCCAGTGGCAGTTCTAATCTCCATATCTCTTTTACTCCATGTAGTAATTACTCTTCCTTTACTGTTAAATTACACCTTCTTAAAGAAATAAAACTGTATTAAAATGCTGTATTCTACTTATTGGTTTCTGTTACCTGAATGGGTCCTAACTGGTAGAGCAATTTGCTGAATACAAAGTCTATATCCAAAAACCACGGGCTGGAGCTGTGCCATAGCAGGTTAAGCCACCGTTTCACATGTTTGCATCCCATATCGCAATTCCTGTTTACATCACAGCTAGCTCATTTCCAAGCCAGCACCCTGCTACTATGCTAGGGAGCAGCCCATTACAGCTCAGGTACTTGAGTCCCTGCCATGCCTGTGAAAGATCCAGGTGGAGTTCCCAGCTCCGGGCTTCAGCTTGGCCCAGCCCAGGGGGAGTAAACAAACAGGGACAATCTTTCTGTCTCTCCCTGTCTCTTTCTGTCTCTCTGCCTTTCAAATAAATAATTATTTTTTACATGTCTATTATGTTTCTAAATACTAAAAATGAACACTTGGAAATCAAAATTTAAGAGAAGAATAATTTACGATAAAAAATTTAAATTATAAAGTGCTTAGAAATAAAATCAGCAAAATATGTGTGAGACTTATAAACTGAAAACCGCAAATATTGCTTAGAAAATTAAAGATGACTTAATTAAACAGAGAGAAACTCCATGTTTGTAAATTAGAAGACGTGATAGATTGAGGTGTCAATTTTTCCCAAATTAAGCTATAGATTATTGTAATGAAAATCTCAGCATAATTTTGTAAGAATTGACAAGCCAATTCTAGAATTTATATTAAAATGTAAAATATCTAGTGTAAGCAAGACTATTTTGATAAAAAGAAACAAAGGAGGACTTTCACTATCCTATTTCAAATCCTATTATGAAATCAGTAGCCAAGAGTGTTAAGTATTGGCATAAAGATGGATATATAAATAAAGGGAACAGAATCCAGAATCCAGAACCAGGCCCCCAACATAGTCAATATGTTTGCAACAATGGAATGGAAGTAATATAATGATAAAAGGATAGATGTTTTCAACAAACAATGCTGGAACAAATGAGGAGCAGTAATATAGAAAAATGGTATTTATGAAGAAAATCACATCATACACAAAATCATATGAACTGAATTTTAGACAGGGCCATAAAAGCTAAAACAATACTGTTTCCAGGAGAAGGCATAAGAGGAAATCTTCACAAACTTTGAGTTTGTCAAGATTAAAGAAAAAAAACTAGAAAAGAGCTTTAAACAAATAAACACACCTGGTCAAAGGAGGTTTATGAAATTAAGAGCTTTTATTCTTCTAAAATTAAGATTGAAAACAATAATAAGAAAGTAAACCACAGACCAGAAGAAAAGATTCGTATATATTCACATTCATTTGGCAATGGACTAGAATCCTGAATATATAAAATACCTCTTTATACTCCTCAGTAGTGAGAAGATGAATAACACAATCAAGAAAAATAAAAATATATTTTACCACTTCAGGATGACTAATAAGTGCATGACAAGATGCTTATCTCTGCAATCTTATAAAGACGGAAGAAAAAAAAAACATATAGAAGTAACAGGAGAAAGCACGATTATATTCTGCATATCAATTTTAATGTTTCTATGTAATAATCACCAAGAAGTACAGCAAAGTGCATTATACAGAGTCATAGAAAATGTATCACATAAATATTCTACTGAGCAACAGAAGGGACTCAAGTGTAATCACCGCCCAGGAGGAAACCTAGCACATGGCCAGAAAGCCCCCATGTGTCTGTGCCAATCACAGACTTCTAACTCCCCACCAAGTTAACACCAGTGCTGAGTTTCAAGGTCATTATTTCCTTGATTTGGTTTATGATTTAACATTCTATGCAAGCAAACCTGAACAATATCATCTAATTATTGCCTGCTTTTTAGATTGTGTGTAGTGGGAATTCTTATTTTTCTTGCTTCTTTTGCTTAACATTGTGTTTGACATTAATTTAAAATGTTTCTTAGAGTTATCGTTTGTACATTTTTCTTGCAGTACAATAGTCTACTATATAACAAATTACAACTCACTTATTCATACTACCGTGGATGGGTATTTGAGATGTTGCCAGTTCAAATGTACTCTTATACTCTCACATATGTTTCATACTATGTCTACACATGAATTTCTTCACAGAATACTCCTAGGAAGGAATTGCTGAATCCTAAAGAATGAGTACCTTTATTTATTTATTTTGACAGGCAGAGTGGACAGTGAGAGAGAGAGAGAGAGAGAAAGGTCTTCCTTTGCCTTTGGTTCACCCTCCAACGGCCACCGCGGCCGGCGCACCGCGCTGATCCGAAGCCAGGAGCCAGGTGCCTCTCCTGGTTTCCCATGGGGTGCAGGGCCCAAGGACTTGCGCCATCCTCCACTGCACTCTCTGGCCACAGCAGAGAGCTGGCCTGGAAGAGGGGCAACCGGGACAGAATCCGGCGCCCCGACCGGGACTAGAACCCTGTGTGTCGGCGCCGCAAGGTGGAGGATTAGCCTAGTGAGCCACGGCGCCGGCCGAATGTGTACCTTTAAATTACATTATGTCAAACTACTTTTCTTGAGTGACTTGACTACTAATGTACACACCCAATCTCAGTGTGCAGTGTCCAGTGTCCCTACATCCTCTCTAACCCTTTAAATTATATCAGACTTTCGTTTTAGCCAATTCAGTTGGTCTCCAGAGACACCTCACTATGGCTTCAATTTTAAATTACCTGATTATGAATTACCTATGTTGAATATTTTGAATATTTAATAACCACATGGATATCCTCTTTGAAAAGTCATCTTTAAAGTGTCCACATTTGTATTAAGATGCCTTTTTGTTTTGACTATTTGAGTGACTGGAAGTTTATTTGCTTTTATTTTTCTTTTTGTTTTCAGAACAACGTAAATAACAAAAATAACTCAAATAATTTAAAAAAAACACACACAAGCTTGCTTTGCCTGCATGCTCTTTCATTGTATAGATGCATCTTGAACTATTTGGCCCTCTACTTAACATGAAAATGAAGGTTATTTCCAGTTGAAAGTAGGACAAACAACAGCGCAATGAACAGTCTTACACCAACACACAGATGTTAGAGGATAGGGTGCTGGGTGTCAAATGGTAGGGAGGATGGCATTGATGAGCACCCAGAATGACTTGTTTTCTTCATCCCCGCCAGGAACAGGCTTCCTTGTCAGCCACACTTGTGCCAGTTCAGGTAGGTGAAGGAAAAGGCAAGAAGGTTCAAGACAAAAAGAAGAGGAATAATAGATGAAAGAAAGGGAAAACTGAAGCAAGTCTTTGTTTTCGTTTTCAACTTTTTGTTAGAAAAAGTTTCAAACAAGCAGGAAAGCAACAGAAGAGTGCTAAGAATACACAGACAGCAATCATCAAACCCAATACCGTGTACCTTTTTGCAGTATTTGCTTTGCATTTTCTTTACTGAAAACGTGCCAAACTGAGCAGCACACATGGCACTTCACCCTTCAGCATTTCCACTCTGTATCTCCTACAAAAAAGTGAATTTTTCAAAAGGTTCATGGAAAAATAAGATTAAAAATACATTTATTTTGGTGCAAAAAATGTTGAAATCATGCATGATTTTTCATGAGTATTTTCCATGAAGTTTCTGAAGTACCCTCAAAAGGGCTTCTGCCTATTTATCCTCAACATCTCATTACCCACAAGAAAATTAAGCAACCATTCCTTAATGTCATCTGACCCCAGACCACTGTCTGTGCAGCAGTCTTGACACTCCTTTATGAATTAGATGGGGTGAGCAAGCAAGGCTGGATCCTTAAAAGGGGCTCTCTTCACCCTCTTTCCTACTCCTCACCACAATCTGAGGTCACAGAGGGTTTACAGCTGTTAAGATTCAAGTGTTCATTCTGTTTGAAAAAGAAATTTTATTAAAAACTGTACTCTTCCATGGACTACCATGTGGCATTTTAATCAGGGTAATCAGCATTTCCCCTTCAGGCACTTTCCTTCATGACTGGAGGCTTGCAGCTCTTTTCTTCTATTGTTCATAAAAAATATACTAGGGTATTATAAACTGTAGTCACCCCTCTATGCTCTGTAACACTAAGAACCGATTCCTTTGACCTAACTCTGATTTGGTTCCCATTAACCAGACTCTATTCCTCCCACACACATGCACACTTTGTTTTACAGTGTCTTTTTTTTTTCTCCAAAGAAACAAAGAATGCATGCATTGTAAAAACTGTGGACAGTACAGGAAAACAAAAATAACAGAAGGAAAAGTTTTCTACAAACCCATTCCTTTGTGCTTTTAATAATTTCAGTAAGATGGATGTAAATAGGCAAACATTCATAGAAAAAACACATTGCTCAGACTAAATCCAACCCTCATTGATTCTTCCTCTCAGCTGCTGTGGCAGGTGGAGACATTAGGATGCCTGCTTTCCAACCTAGACTTAGCCACATTTCAGCCCTGTAGTTTCTAACTTGGAAACTTGCCTACACATTAGAACATATTTGGGATGAATTCTATAGGATAGGACCAAAGCCAGGCCCTATTCACAACTCTAACTCAATCCTAATCATTTCTATAAAGTATTATTTTTCTTCTCCCAAAGAGTAGCTACAGATGAGCTATCATGATAGCCTGTTCCCACCAGAATCATCACAGAGTTCAGCGACCTCTCATGAAGAGGGCAAACAGTTGCTTTGTAGGAAAACTGTGTTTGGAGATTGAACTTAGAGCTTGTTGCATAAGTAACTTCCAAATCACTCAAAGTCAAGCAACCAGCGTGTACCAGGACATGCACAGCAGATGGTGTTCCAAGGGCTCAGCACTCATTCTCTGTCTGGCATGCAGGAGGAGTTGCCAGCTAGCTAGACCACAGCCAGGGCTTCAGAGGCTAACTCTAGCCTTTGGAGGTGAGGAGAAGCACTGCTTCCCCTTGCATCTCACCCTGGCCCCTCTGCACCTGCTGTCTAACCACCACCTGCTCCTCCTTTTGTACCTGTTCTGAGCAACTGGCATGAGGCTGGAGACCAGGAGAGAAACCAGTCCTTGCAAGGTCTCCTGTAGAGCTAGAGCCCTTCCATTTCCAGGACTGCTTTCCACCTTTTCTTTAAAGTGAAGCTGAAAACATAGAGAAAGCAAAAAATAATGCATGACTGAAAAGACAGCCCTGGCTTGTGCCAGGACCCCCAGGTGGGCTATGGTTCAGATCTATGTATAAGTAAGTAGCCCATTGTTGCTCTCATTCATTGTTTCCCAAGACCCTGCTTCACATTTGCTCACATCTAGTGTCTTCCAGAGCACTGAGTCTAGCCTGAATTTTAATCTTAACAATGATAATTACAGTAAGAACTACAGCAGCTTTTAAAGTTTATGTAAGTCCTGAAAGTGTTCAGTAGCAACCTAATTCTGGAGTCAGAAAGAAGAATGTAAATCAAGGTCATGATAATGTTAAGTGATTGTTAGTTGCTTTTAATTCACAATACAACTTGTTTGCACTAAAAAATCTATAAAAATTCATAGAAAGTTAAATTAAAAGACATCTGAGTATAAAAGATGAAATCCATGTATACAAGGACTCTTCAAGAAGCTCAAGGAAAATGTAGATTATGGAAAAACTTTGCATGAATTTCAAAATCCATATATAAGTCCCTGACTTACAATGGCCTGAGTTAATGATTGTGTTAAAGTGCATTCATTTTTATTTTTCACTTTCAGAACAGCAGTCAATAAATTACATGAGACTTTATTTATTATGAAAGACCCTTCAAGTTAGATGATTTTGCCCACCTGGAGGCTAATGTGAGTGTTCCATAGACATGTAAGGGAGACAAAACTAAGCGATGACATTTGCTAAGCGAAATGTTTAAGTACATTTTAGACAGACCATATTTTCAACTTAAGGTGGGTTTATCAGGAAATAATGCCGCAATAAGTCTAAAGCATCTACAATTGTAAACACGTTTACCACAGTTAATCTGACTTTCCCACCCTCATTCTCTATTAGTAGAAATTGTGGCAGGGACAGGAGGAATGTAGAGAAGAAATTTTAAAAAAATTCTTGTTTAAAACTGAGCTCAGCATAAAACTTTAGCTCAGTCTCCCCCAACAAAATGCTCAGACCATCAGAGACTCCCTCCGCTGTCTCTCTCCCTTAAGCAGGCATCAAGGTATCATGATGAGAAACCAAGTGAGCCTTCGTGTCTGAGAAGCTCAAGGTTTCTGGCTTAGTGAGTCCTCAGATGTCCAGGGACAAGGTCCTGATCCCCCGGTTTCTGCTGCATGCTGGCACCTACAGCTGGAGTCTGGCTTCTGTCTCTTCTTGGATCAAGCCCATGGCTACAAGCTAACTCTCTCAGACTTTCCTGCTGCCACACACCCAAATCTCTAGTGTTTTCCCTTCATGCCATATGACAGAGCCCCATGGCAGGTCCATGACTCCTGCTCAAGTTCCATCCTATGGTGCTAGCGAACCTAAAGCCAAGAAGCTCCTTCCATCCACCTGTACAACCTGCCCCAGGTCAATGCTGTGGCAGTCCCAGATGAGATGCTGGTCCAAACTCCTCAATTATGTAATAGAACCACCTTCCTTGCTCCCAATCCTAGGACTGGACAAGTCCAGCCACACTCCATCCTCTTTCCCACTCTGCTTTCAATTTCTCTTCCTATAATTAATTAGCCCAGAAAAGGGAAGGGCTATTGGCCTTTTACTCCTCCTACATTCTGAAACCCCAAAATAAGCTAAGCTGCATGAACAGAAGGGATATCCATTTCATAGAATGGAGCAACTCTATAAAAGAGATCCTCTATGCGTATCCCAATTCCACCATACTCCAAAAAGAGAATAAAAATCATAAATCTTGCTGCAAGTACATTGTCCAATTTGCAAATTGTCCTGTCATCAGCTTTACTTTTGCATCTCAGAAATGAAGAATTATCTCCTCCTCTGGTACAAATTTCCTTTCTTACCAAATCCCAGGCTTCTTCCCCCTACTCTAGGCAGATGTCAGCCTTTGAGTTACAAGGACAAGGATCACAGCACTGACAGTGCAAAAGAGAAGAGCACACTAACAGTTTCTAATGAGAAATGCCTTTATACCAAGTAACCCATTCATAGGGTTACACTGAGGTTCAAATAAATAGCTAAGTACTTGCCAAAAAAAAATTCCTGATCAATAAGTCTGCAATAAAATTTAGCTATTAATGATTATCATCCATTGTGTCATCCAGTCTTCTGAATTCATGAGCAGGTAGTACTGTGTCCATTTTACAAATCAGAACAATGAGACTCAAAGCTGCTGCTATGTTCTCTAGATAATACAAAGACTGAATAACAGGATCTCATCAGAACTTGGAGTTTGTGACTCCCTCTCCCATGGTCAGAGTTTTAATTTTCCTGTCTGGATCAAGTTCCAAGTTCTGCCTGTTATATAAAGTCTTCTGTATTTACAGTAAGAGCAAACACACTTTCTATAAAGGGCAAGAGTAAATATTTTAGGGTTTGGGGTCAGAAGGTCCCTGTCACAACTACTCAGCTCTGCTGTCACAGCATGAAATAAGCATAGACAATACAGAAATAATAGGTGCAGCTGTGTGCTAATTATACTTTATTTACAAAAACAGGCAGTGGGCTGGATTTTTTCCATGGGCCATAGTTTGCTGACCTCTGCATCAAATAACAAGTGCCTAAAACATGAAGAATCCAGAATCAGTTTCAACTGAAAAGTAAAAAAAAAAAAAAAAAAAAAAAAAAACACACACACACAGAAAAATAATTTTTTCCTAGTCTTAAGTCTTTTAGACTCAAAGTCACTACTACCTAATCTAGCAATCATTGTATGTGTTGTATTACTCAGTATCACTTCATATGTCTCTCCTTTTCATTGTATGCAGCAATACTGACTCCGAGCCTTATGACTTTTTCCAGACAGTACTGGAATTGAGGCCCAGCTTCTCCATTTGGGCAAGCTAGTTCACCTTGAACTTCTGTTATCTCCTTTTGCAAACTGAGATAATGTGGGGAAATTAGTTACACAAGGCAATTCAAAGATGGCACTGAGAGGAAATAAGGTGGGCGGAATCCAAAGTTATTTACCACCAAAGCTGATTGGCTGTGTAACATCAGGGGAAGTGGCAACACTGATAACGAGGGTATAGACATATGGCCAGTCCTATGACAATCGTCCTGTAAAATGACCGTTTAAGCGATTGGTTGGTCCTTATGCCCTGCCCCAATGACTCTGCAGTTTTGTGCTTTAAAGGCTTTGTTATGCGCGAAATAAAAGGGTTCTTGCTTGACTTGAATCCCAGCTATGTCTGACTGTCTCCGGAAACAAGGGAGGCTGGGGAATGGGCGAGCAGCACACTTACCTTTCCTTGGGCCCAGTCCATCCTGTACAGGTGGACTAAGACCCTGCTAGATGAGAAGGTTCACTTCTGCTGCTATGAGATTCAGGAATTACCTAGGCACAGTACCAAATAAATGGAAGCTATTATTGCAAACAAGTTGCAGCTAGGAGCTATGTTTTCAAGTCTCTCTTAATCTTTCTCATTGATTTATAAGTGGATGGAAATTGGGAACAGAGGTGACTGTCCTGGCATGTGAGGAAGGCACACTGGGAAGCCTGCCCCATGCTGAGTTGATGTAGCTGTCACCTCTTTCTAGCTGTGTCCAAATGCTGAGGTTTTATAAGGGGCCCAGAAAAGATCCCTACTCCTGGCCTGAGCTCATTATTTAGAAACTATTCATAGTAACATGTTCAAGGCCCACATTTGAAATGAACCATTGAATATTCTAACACTTCACTGACTAGGTTGAAGTCTTTAACTGATATTCATATGGAAGCATTTTGCTTTCTTTATGGTGCACTCAAACCTTAAGTGCATACATGATCAGAGAAAGATGGAAGCAGCTCCCACTAAAGTCAAAAGACTAGGGAGAGGGGCAGGTGTTTGGGACAATGATTAAGACCCTGTATGGGACACAAACATCCCAAATCAGAGTGTCTAGGTTCCAGTCCAACTCTGCTATCACTCCCAGATTCCTGGTAGTACACACTCTGAGAGGCAACAAGTAATGGCTCCAGTATTTCAGTCTCTGCTACCTACGTGGAAAGACATGAGTTGAGTTCTTGGCTCCTGGCTTCAGCATGTCCCAGACCTAGCTGTTGGAGATATTTGAGGAATGATAAAAAAAATTAGAAAGACTCTGAAAGTCAGAATATAGGAATCACTGTGCCAGTTCTGCTTTTCACTGGCTATCTGATCTTCAGCAAGGTATAGCTCTCCTCTTCTATGGGCATAAATAGTTTCCAAATTTCAATAATGTATAGATAATTTCTATTTTTTTAATAATTGCCATGTGTCCCCTGTACGATTGTTTTCTCTATTTCAAATAAATACACACATTTATTTACCTTGTCTACATAATACCTGTGATACTATAGCATCAGTAAATTAATTATATTTTTCCTCTTATACATGGCAAGAGATACACAATAGCCACTGTTATAATAAGAATGGTTCTTTATGTTCTACCTCGCATCATCCCAGCCATCATCAGCAGTGGGTTACTCCACTTTTGCCATCTGGTGGTGAGTATTCATTACCCCCTCCACTTTGATTGATTCGTTGATGCTTCCAGTAGCGCCCGGCACCATGTCAAGCATATACGTGGTGTGTGAAGTCCTTCAGTTAATAATGTGCTTTCCTTTGTGCAGAACCACTCGAAAGGAGAAGAATATGGTGAGAAAATCCTTACTATCTGCATAAACTCTGCAATGGGGAGAAATGACTGGATGGCCCCAGAAGAATAATCAAACCACCCACTGGCAAGTTTCTCTTGATATCAAGCTCTGTTTTCTCCCTGTGACCTATGTACTAGGTCCTGGGTGAGTGCAATGGACTCCCTCTCATTTTGACATTGAGGTTTTGTCATCCCTAAACATGGCTCACTCTTTGAACTCACAAATACTCAATAAGTTATCTGGCTGAATTACTGAGAAAGAAATTTTCAAGATTCCAGGAAATTTTAAGGTATTATTAAAAGTCATTTTTTTATATTATTACCCAGCTTAACCCTATGTTGAATTCACAGTTACGGAATTCATGCTAAAGCATTTGATTGTGCACAGAAGAGAAACAGCCTTAGAAGTAACTCCTTTGGGCAAGCTTGAAAAGGAGGGTAGTACATGGCTCAGTAAATAAAACATAGACAGTTATGACCCATCAAGCTAAGCTGAATTGACCTGCTGATATAACCTACCATGAATAGGTCCCATCAAAGAGAAGGTATGTGGAAAGCACAGGTATCCTGTACTTATCAAGATATGTGAAAGCTGATGGTTTATGATACTTGAGGGGAAACTATATGAAACACGTGATTGCTTATGTAATTTGTTAATGATCCTTAGTAGCATTAAAATTATTTACCTTTGAATATCATCATCCATTGTCATAGTGATTAGATGTTTTCTTAGGGCATAACCATTGGTAGAATTTGGTGAGAACAGGTGCATTTTGCATAATTTCCTTTATGTTCTACAACTTTACAGTCAAATGTCAAACTATTCTACACTTTAAAGAGTGCTCCAAACTCTCAGAGACAAAACCAGAGCCCTGCGTACCCACTTTGGAGCCCACTTCCCTGAATCTACATGTCTTACAAGAAAGCTGAACTTCTCAGTAAAAGATCTGGGGGTTACATGTGTTGATTACTTGCCTCTGATTTATCTGAGTTGAGTCCTCTTCACTATGCCAATTCATAAACTGTCAATTGAATGTTTGAAGTTCAAGTGAAGGAATTTGTGTGCATTATTTTATTTGATACTCACTCTGGTGCTATGAAGGTCATGGTATCATCCCCCTTTAATAGAGGAGGGCACTGAGTCTCAGAGAGATTGGATTAGGTTTTCTGCAGTCACATATCACCATGTGCCAGGATTTGACTCAATGGGCTACTGACTGCATAGACAAAGGTGTTAACTAGATGAAACTGCATTGACCAGAAACTCACTCAGCATTCCCTTGTCTATGAATTTCTCTCTATGGGATTTTATAAGAGTCAGCCTCATGTCTCAACAAGAGTAACTCCAAATTGGGACATTCAGCCCCTGGATGGAGTACACAGAAACTTTCCAGGGCAAGAAGAGCAGAAGGAGGTTGATGGAATCAATGTCTCCATTCCCAGCCTTTTCTATCATAGGTCTAAGAAGGCTCTTGAGTCTGGGGTTCTCCTGTTCCAATCTCTCTTTTTGCCATGTAGACAGGGATCTCCATCCTTTTCAAGGAAAAGCTGCTTCTCATCTCCGTAAATTACACTGGATCTTCAACAAGGGAGGAATTTTGTCCTTTCTGTTCCCAATTTTCCTTCCTGAAGAACCTGTCCAACAAAGAGAGATCATGCAGTGGTAGTCAGCATCTTGCAGGAACTGAACTACCTTCTTATGTGAGAGATGGAACAGGGCCAAAATGCTGTATGAAGAAACTAACATACTAATTTTTTAGCAGGTCTATGAAATCTCATTTTAGTGTATATCACATAAATGCATCAGCTGTAGCCACTTTATTTTCCTTTAAGAGTAGGCATTTCTTAGAATTAGTCATTGTATGTACATTATATTTTTATATGAAATCATTGATGTGGCTCCAAAACACCTCCTTCAGGGCTATTTTTCTCAAAGTTAGCCTAGGTAGTTTTGGTTTTCCAGAATTAAAATACTCATAAACCACACAAAGCTAATTGGTTTACTTTCATTGTCCAGGCAACTGATTGACTTTTCTACCACTTCCTGCAATTAGTAGCTTGAGCATCTTACCTGCAAATCATTGCTCAAACAATACCATTTATTAAGAGGTGTTTTTTTTTGGTTTTGTCTTTTGTTTATTCATTATAAGTTATGGTGGAAATAGACAATTTAAATTAGAGTATTGTTTCACTTTTCTCAGTTTTGTTATTTTTTGCAAATTAACTTTTTCCTAACTTAGAAAACCGAGGAATATTTAGGTCAGTGCCTGCAATTTATTTCAGGCAGCACAGATACAGTTAGCGGAAGCCATGTGGTTATTGCACAGGTTAATACCACTAACTTATTATAGAATAAAGCCATCAATCACTTCAATTGAAATTGTAGATAACCAATTACAGTGATCCAGTCGGTTAGAAGACACTACTAATTTTCATCTGGTAAGTGTAAAGTTTGGTCCTCTTCTAAGAAAGACGAAGCAGGCAGCTGCAGGGCTGCAGTGGACGTGGGTATCTCTTGGTGGGTGTGGGAGCTTGTCATGCATGAATTCTTGTGTGATGTGTGCCACAGTGACAGAAGGACAGCCTGCTGGGGAGCTCTGGAGAGCGCCATCTATCTTGCAGGCGTTGCTTTGCAACCTGAAATCATGGACCACCAGGGAGGGTCATGGGCCAAAGGTCGCTGAACTTCTCAACCAGGAGCAGTGCTGAGGACTGTGAGGGCTGGGTTTTCTCCATTGGGGTAGCACTTTTATGAGATGTTCATATTGGCTCTTATAATGAAATGGGAGGGAAAGGACTGGGCCAGGAGTGCAAGAACTTCTTATTCCTAAACAGTATCTCTTCTCGGGACTCTGCATGAAGGCAGTAAGAAGTCAGACGGACTTCATTTTGGTTCCAACGCTGCCACTTACTAGCTTGGAGACCTTGGCTCATGGTCACCCTCCCTGAGCCTCAATTTCCTTGTGTAAAAATTATAATAAGAGTATCCATCCCCTAAGGTTGCCATGGAGAGTAAATGGAAGAACAGAGAAAGCACTGTGCACAGTACACGGCAAACTGCTAGGACTTGGAAAGCAGCAGCTGTGCCTTGTGTCCTGTCACCGCCTTGTGTGGGGAGCAAACCGGACTAGACTAAGTTACTGGAATTAAGACTTATTCTATGCATCTGCTCTCCCACAATATGGCGTTGGGAGAGAAGTAAACAGCTTCCGCACAGCTGCCTCCAGTTCAACCAATAAACTGTAGGACTTGCTCCTGATTGGAGAGCAGCGTACTCGGCGTGTGGGCAGCCGAGTTGGGATTGGCGGAGGAGGACTATAAAGGAGGAGAGAGACGGCATGCACCAGGAACATCTATGGGGAACATCTATGGGGAACATCTAGCTGAAGGAACACCTGTGCAGCCCCCCAGAAAGCCGGCCGGCGGTGTGCCGCTCCCCTGCGGAAGTGGGGAATGTGGCCAGGGGGAACTGCCCTTCCACGGAGGTGGAAGGGACAGTAGCCAACCCGGGAAGAACCAGCAGCAAACCCGGGGAAGGCCGAGCAGACGAAAGAACAGCGCAGGGTCCTGTGTCGTTCCTCCACGAAGAGGGGGAGCGACATAATGGTGCCGTGACTCGGATAGGAAACCTAGGACGGATAGGAAACTTAGGAGGGAAGAAACGGGAAGAACTGGGAAAATACCGGAGAGAGAGACTAGCAAACAGCCTAGGGAAAAGCCGGACGAAAAGGGTGCCGGAAGAAGCTATTGAAAGCCTAGGCATAGACTCGGATACGGACTACGGGGGGAAGCTGGGAGAAATCTCTAAGGTCGAAAGCGAAAGTGAAAGCTAGAACAAACAGACTCGGATGCGGACTGTGGGGAGAGGCCAGGAGAAATGAGGGAGGAGTATTGTTGGAAGAAAGCTTGGGGAAACATACCAGGTAGAGAAAAATGTTAGGGAAATTGAAGCCGCGGGGGGCAGGCCAAGGCGGAAACGAAAGCCACTTTGGGATTCTCAAGTTAGCCCGGGAATGGGGGGCGAAAAGTTGAAACCAGAAGCTGAAACGTAAGCCAGATTGGGATCCGTCTGATTAGCCCGGGGAGCAAAGGACGGGAAGCCAAATCGTGGGGCGGAGACGTATGCTGGGTTGAATTCGCCAGGCTAGCCCGGGGAACTTAGATTGAATGCTAGTGGCGGACACATAAGCTACGCTGTGTGACTCGCGGAGGCTGCTGTGCGCAGAGAGAGCGTGCGGGGCACAAGTAGATAGGGAACGGGGCTGGCGCGAGGCCGTGGTGCAGACGCGAAGGGCGTGGAGACCGCGGAGCGCGCGAAGCCAAGCCGCGCAAAGCCGGGAAGCCCTGCAGATGAGAGAGATGAGGGCTGAAGCGGCTCAGCCGGAAAGCCGCCGAGAAATAGCCTTGGGGCGGAGCCTGCCGGCAGGGCGAGGCGCCGGGAAGCCGCAGGGATAAGAGAAACAAAAGTTTAGAAGTAAAATGAGAGAAATGGGAATGTTGGCAGACATAAGTAAAATGGGAGAAATAGGAATGCCCGGAGATAGAGAAATAGAGAAATAGAAAGGCCTCCCCTCAACATGGCAATTAGAAGGCTTGGATTCGGTCTGCCCGATTAAGTGAGGCGATGAGCACCTGCAGCGGCTAGCAGCTTATGCGCCGCAGGTCACCGAAGACAGGCACGAATTAACATCAGAAAGGCCTCCCCACAATACAACAATGAGAAGGCTTGGATTCGGTTTGCCTGATTGTTAGGGCTTGTAAGCCCCTGCAGGCAGAGCAGAGCATGCGCCGCAGGTCACCGAACACAGGCACGCATCAGCGCCTAAAAACCTCCTCACAACATGGCGAAGAGAGGACCCGGATTCGGTTTGCCTGATTGATAGGACTTTTAAGAACCTGTGGCAACTCTAGCAAGTAGAGCAGAGTGTGTGCCGCGGGACACTGAAGACAGGCGCGTATCAACGCCAAAAATAAAAAGAAAG